TATATATATATATATATATATATATTTTTTTTTTTTTTCTTTTTTCCTTACAATATCTAATAAAAGAATGTTTCTTTATTTTAAATTATAAAATGCATTAGGTATAGTTATTGTTGAATGTGACTATAGAATGTGAAGAGGAAGTTGTATAAGGTACATTGGCATCAAGCCTTTTCAAGGAAATATCTTGGATAGTTAATTCTAGTCAAGGTTCAACATTGACATAGTTAGAAATACAGATGCTGGTGCCAAACCAGCAAGTCCTTCAGATGTACATACTAATTTTATCCTGTCGTATCATTAATTTAGATTCTGTAATGAACTTACTAATTAATTGTAGTACAGTACTCATTACGTACATTGTATCACATTGTTCTATCTTGGAATATCAACAAGATATTTCATGAATAATTTAAAAAAATTTAGATGCAGGCTTTGTTTTACTTTATTTTTATAAAATCTACATTGCGGAGAGATCATTTTTTGACTGTGTCACATATTTAATTTAACAGTTAAAAATAAAAAAAATATGAATAATATTTTGTTATTTTTTTATTCAAGGTGTTAACAGACTATAAAACAAGTCACAGAGCAAATATTTTTAGTGCCAAGTTTTTGCCTAATAGTGGAGATCACCGTATTGTTTCTTGTAGTGGAGATGGCATTATTTTGTATACAGGTAAATATTGACAGAAGCTTGAAGAACAAATAATGATGAAATATGTTATTGACTTTATCAGACAAGATTGACTTAATCAGTCCTCTATGCTGACAGCAATGTTATATTCGCAGATCTGATGAGAAGAACAGAAACGTTTCATAATCAATTTACTTGTCACACTGGCACTACTTACGAAATAGCGACAATACCCGGTGAACCGCATAGTTTTCTAAGCTGTGGAGAAGACGGAACTGTGAGATGGTTTGATCTCAGAATAAAGGATAAGTGTAGTGCCGCAAGATGTAGGGAGGTAAGCGTTATATTGACTTCGATCTTTGTATAATACATTTGATTATTTGAAGTCATATGTTATATATTCCGGATATGTTGTATTATATAATATAGCATTTGAAAAATCTTTTTTCAATTATTCTTCTAGGATGTGTTAATTCCATGTCAAAGAGCTGTGACCGCTTTGTCTGTAAATCCCGTATTACCTCATCAAATAGCGATTGGATGTTCTGATAGCACTGTAAGAACTTTCGACAGAAGAACTCTCGGTACATCAGCCACTGGTAATCTTTGCGGGACATAATTGTGCTCTATCACAATGCAGCATATCATGGTTACATATGTATGCATACTTTTTAGGTTGGACGGACGTGGGAGGTGCGGTGAGACCACTATGCAGTTTTACTGTCCCAGAATTCGAAGGTAATTCTTACAGGATTACATCGTTGAGTTATAGTCCGGATGGACAAGATGTTCTTGTTAGCTACAGCAGTGATCATCTCTATTTATTCAGCATCAAGGTAATACTTTAATTTTTTCATTTAATTATAAAATAACATTTTATCCATATTTGTCACAATGTTGTCTCTGTTTTACTTAAATCTATATTTGTTCCCGAGATATTGTTTGTTTTCGTGTATATTAATTACTTCTCAAATTAATTATTCAGGATCAAGGCAGTTTGCAATTGCGGAAAGACGCGACAATGGGAAAAGGAAAAGGAAAGAAGCATCCGTTAAGATCGCCTCAACCAGTTCGTCGCTTGAGACTTCGCGGTGATTGGTCCGATACCGGTCCTGATGCACGTCCGGAAAGAGAAGGAGGACGTCGGAGTGGTACCGGTAAATGGATATTCCTTATTGTACTCCTATATATGTATATATATATTTTATGTGAAAAATATTAGTATCGTGATATCGTGTTCAGAGATCGCCCAAGCAAGACCGGTGTTACACACGTCTCTGATGCAGAGAATGACAGATGTGCTCAGCAGAATGTTAAACGACCCTGCCACTAGAGCTGCTTTGAGTGGCGGGGGTGAAGACAGTTTGGAAGGTGTCATCGAGCAACAGGAAGGTATACAAAACGCTGAGAATAATCTCGAGTCGAATGCGGAAAGGAATAATGAATCGGCCGAATTAAGCGCAGAACAGAACAATAATCTAGAAACAAGTGGTAATGAAAATAGATATTTATATGTGCATTACATATGCTACGCATTTTTCAACACTTGATTCCATTATTGTGCCATTTTTAGGAAATACAAGTTCGCACACTGATGGAGCTGAAAATACAGACGCAGACGAAACGACTAATACTGACAGATTCCAGACGAGAGAGATGGAAGAAAACCGGGGATATAATCAGTCAGCATCAACGAATACATCAGCGAATGTAAATGATGTTTCTATGGAAACTGAATCTAGTCAAACCGACCAAGCGCAAGCCGTTTCTGCAGAGTATACGAGTAGCCATGATAGAATTGCGCATAGTGACGTATGGGATCGAAATAGAAACGAAGATGAAGCTTCGCGTGCAAATATAGCTAGTAAGCAGGAAAATATGATGGAGAATCTTCAAGATAGATTAACAACGATGCGAGATGGTTTCCTCGAAAGGTAAGACTAATTTTTTTTTTTTT